TTCCATTGTTGTACATATAAACGTCAAGACGTTGCCTATATGGCAGTGGTTCTCAACCACTAGTGGTACGCAATCAGTAAAAGGTTGAGAACAATTGCGATATGAGAATACCTTACCATTATCGGTAAAAGGAGAATGAATTGTCTTGTTCAGACTAGAGATGTACCGATACCACTTTTGTCGCCGATACCGATCCGATACCAGCTAAAAACGCCGATACCGAAATCGATACGCCGATACTACAAGAAGGCCGATATTACCGATATTCCGATACCGATACTATGTAATTATTACTCAATTAGGTGTGCTGTGTAGGGCAGACGGGTTAAAACAATAGTCTTGGAGCGTTGTTCAAAAAAAGATATATCACATAATATGAAATTAATGTTTAGTATCTATGTGCATTAACTGATTAAGATACATTGTACAATAACGCTAGTAATCTCGGTGTTCAATTAGAAAACTCATAAGCCGGGATGTCTAATTTGAATTTAATGTTAATATCGCGACCTTCGAATATCGTTATTCGTGTTTAAAAGAATATCGAATATCAATTGAGCCATGCTCACACTTTGTATGATCATATTTGGATACCCGTTATAACTTCTACTGATAGTTAATTTCCCGTTTGTAGTGGTCTGTACTTGTAGGTGAATAGGTAATCATCGCTATCAAGAAATTCTGGCTAAATTGTAGGGTATAAGAATATATAATAAATCTGGGAACTAATGATAATTTTATAACATTTTGTGCAGATTTCATATGTGACCAATATACGGCGATCGGTCTCTTGCTAACTATAAGATCATATATGTTATCTCGTGGATATTTCTGTAAAAAATCGACAATCACAGCTATAAGTAATATAGTTTTAGCTAAAAATTAGCCAGTGTGTAATCGGGAGTGCATTCGGGAACATTTGTGTTTTTACTATGTGTAACATTTAAAAACTTGTACTGTTAGCTTCTGAATTTGATATTTGTTATGGTCGCCAGAATTAAAAAATTAGGAAAGTGTGATACAAGTGGTGGCAATGGAGTGGCTTATAGCGGGTGCAATTTGAAACTAGTTGTATGAAATGACATTTCTGGATGGCGAAATAGATGTTAGTTTGAGCCAATTCTTTCAGGAGATGGTTGGAGTTGTGAAATTCGGGCAGAAAAAATCGTCATTGTTCTGATTGGTTGAATTGACCGACAGTTGATTGTGCAGGGTAGAAGATCAATGTGACTTATTTCAAATTTAATGAACAATAAACACTTAATTGGGTACTCCGTAGTAATTGTACCTGGTTAGGTTAGGATGAGGCAACAATTTTATTACGATTTTCCTTTTTTAGACCTATTACGAGTTCGGGAACTGTCTGTGTTAACCAAGTGAATATACCCTCTGCCCATAGGTTTCAGTCTCTTTACATAACTTGATCTCAAGTAGCCGAAGAACGGTATTTAACTCCATCTTAGTACTCATACTTATGGTGTGCCGTAAATTGTGCATTGTCTGAAACGACCAGAATTTTTTTTGTAATATTGTTACCCAGTGCGGTATTTATTTTATAAATCTAGAATAACAACGAAAATGTGAGCACCACGAGTACTTTGCAACGACAAGACATGCCCTGATTCAATTGACAACGTAACTAAAATGGCAAAGTTGAAAATCGTCGTATTATTGTTTTTCCAATTCAGCAATCAATAAAAATGCAAGATTAAGTGACATTTACAGGTGTTGGGAACGCTCTCCGAAAACAAAGTATGATTACGACAATAGGAATGTATGAATTCAAAATTTAGCAACAATTGATATTATTATATTTGCATATAACAAATATTTTTCGCAAAACTCATTTTGAGCACCATTGCAACCCTGCGCAATGCATGACAGATGCGGGTATATTCAAAATGTCTTGTTTATTGGCTTAACTGTGTTCCATGTAACCTGCGGTTGCGTCGGCAATATAAAATCATTACTTCTCCAAATTACCCACGGCGATCCGCGATCATGAAATGGAACAATAAACAATGAACAAAAGGAACAATGAAATGAAACAGCACTGACTCCGCCCTGCAAGGTCTGCGACCAGATTCATACCACCGTTTCAAATAAAATCCTGGGATTTGGACAAAATACGAACGATTGAAATTTATTTTTTGCAATGAAAAATTGATTGATATATACAGTTATTATCTTATATATCGCCACATACCGAGAAAAAAGTCGCGTGCGGCTCCGTCGGTAGTTTGAAATTGGATAAAGGTAAATCGCGCGTACAATTGATTGTGTTGCGATTTCAGTTAGATGGGTATATTTTCCAAAGAAGCCCTAACATAACACCGAATTTTGTGATTTACAATGTCTAAAAGAGTGTTTTGAATCTGTCGTGAGTATTCTGAAACAAAACTTATGGTGTTATCTACCATTTTGGGTTTCAATTTCAATATTTTTAAAGCCGCTTTCCAATCAAGAAATTTGGGTTGCGGATGCACCTCTTTATTAATTATTTTCAGCATCTCGTTGCCAATGATTAACTCAATTCCGCACGAACAAAAAATTCGTTCTCGTAGATTATAGAACAACACAAGACATGCATATGCCAAGAAAAATTTGTAATTTAGGGAGAATAAACACCGACGGAAATATGTTTAACATGTCACACTTATGAAAGCAATCGGCGATTTTACTGAAAAGCAATCGCGCACGTTATTAACGACTTTTGCAGTCTTCCAAAAATATCAAATCGGCAGGTTGCGGGATATAACTTAGATACATTTGCTCTGCACATAGCAAAGATTTTATTATACTAAAACTCAATTGTATGAATTCAAAGCGTGTATATAAACTTCAGAATCACTGCCTTCTTTTCCTTCATCACGTGGTCTCTCGTTCGAATGTAAAGCTTACCAATTATTACTAGATCAAACCTGTTATGGGCATAAGTAATAATTGTCAGCACACTGTAATCAGGCCTGGTCAACACACAGAAAATATTCTCAATAATCCGCGCTGAATCGAAATTTTGTAAAGCCGACGGCTTGGGGCTGCTTTGACACCTAAAGGATGTGGATTTAACAATTTAGAAGCATGCAATTAGCACTTTAGGGGGGTTCGGGGGGGGGGGGGGGGGGGGGGGGGGGGTTAATTTATAAAAAGTTTATCATTTAAGTCAAGTAAAGGAATGTTAACATACTCAGGAATATCAATAGGTAAGCAACAACTTCAAATTTATTGTGGGGCTCCGTGAATAATATAGTAAACCTCTTCACGGGCTCCGCTACACCAAATGTTTGAGAAACCCGGGGGTAGAAGATTAATGTGGTTCAATTCAAAATTGTCGCTCAATTAATGGACATTCATTCCAAATTCTAAATAAAAGAAATTGCCAAATTAAAGTATTTGGCAAAATATATTTCTCTATATTGTCGGTTCTATGTTGTCTACCAAAAAGGCTATGAAATTGTCGGACTGTACAGATGGTAATTATGAAGCACTCCCGATTTAGATAATTTAAATTTTGTACCTGATAATGTGGCATTTTATAGGACTTTTTAAAAATTTGCTTATACACATATCAACATGTCCGTTTCTTAGTTTTATTAGTCCATTCCCTGCCTAGATTTAGACTTTAAAATTCCAACTTTATTTGCAGTGATTTGTACAATATTTCACCCTACCTGAGCGCCGAATGCCTAAACTTATTGTTATTAATTTGGAAAAGGCGAAACTATGTCTGATGTGTTGACGTATGCGTATTGATTTTGTTTGAAATGGTATATATACGCCAGTGGAGGACAATGATTAGCATGAAAACTGTTTGAATGAAATATAGCAAATAAAATTCTGCATTTAGCAGTGGGAATACTATTTTTGAATTTTTACTATTTTTATAACATATTAACCGGATCCCAAAACCGCGACCCTCTTTCCACCTACAAAACTAAATTTACATTTTTTTAAAAATTTATCCCGATAAATAACCAATAGAAACAGAACCGAATGAGGTCCTAATCAAAACTTAGAATGTTTCGAATCGATATAGAGTAGGCTGATTGCTGTATAGCCATTTATTTAATAAAGGAATTTCAGCTTATACAAAAACTTGTTTGAATCTACTTCCGCAATTAATTTGTGAAGATCAGTAATTGTTAAATTTTATGAAGCAAAATTTCTCTTCTTAATTAATCGTAACACATTGTAGACGTTCTAACATTTTGAACGTTGTGCCTGTTTTTCGTTTTCTTTTTGTCCATTTAATTATTTTTTTGTTTGAATTTGTGTCTGGCACGACTTATGTAAATATGCCTATAATGCTCGTAAATTACTTTGATAAAAAGCGTTTATTGTGATATAGTTTTTAGAGTAAACACATATTATTCATAATTTGATTCGTTAATAGGGGTTACTTAAAATATCGCAACTCGGACTACATTGGGCAATCCAATTATATCGAATTTTACATTATTGCTGTTACTACCTGTAATGTTGGATATCTCATGCTTTGAAGATCATACTTTATGCCCTGACTATTACCTTCATTGTAACCATTTGACACAATTTTCCGGAAACTGATCTGCTAATGATCGGCAAATATATTCAATATTTGTTGATAAAATTTTGGCGAAATGTTCAGGCACAATTTTTGCTTAGAATACATTTAACAACCAATCCACCCTCTAAAACATCTTTTTCGCATTCAAATTACGAATATGGGTTTAGCAAGCTTTTGGTATGCCAATATATCTATTACTAATAATATTTGTTGACAAAATATCGACTAAATGTCTAAGCACGATTTTTGATCAGAATACATTTGAGGACCAATGCATCCATCCCCTTAAACATCTTTTCCGCATTCTAATTAAGAATATGAGTTTAGCAAGTTTCCAATTTGTAGATTAAAATGGAATAAAAATGAAGTTCAATGATCACCAGATTAACAATTAGTAGTTTTGTCGTTGTCAAATCGATTTTTATCTTTATATCTATTATTTCCAGTTTAGAACTATTGCATTTTTATAATGGCTGCAATAGGAATAGATCTTGGTACAACAAATTCATGCGTGGCAGTTTACAGGAAGGATCAGGTAAAATATTGTAGAGTAGGTATTTTGGTGAACTTTGATATTTAGTTATTTGTTATGGGACCAATATAAATATATTTTAGGTCGTTAATGTTTGAATTTTTGAAAGTGGACTTTCTATTGCATTACTGTAGGTTGAAATCATTGAAAACAACGAAGGAAATCGAATTACTCCCTCGTTTGTCTCATTTACTGAAGATGATGAAAGACTTGTTGGTGATGCAGCAAAACAAGAAGCGTCTACTAATTTTGAAAATACATTGTTCCGTAAGTGAGCCTTTAAAGCCTATACGCTTTTTAATGCCGTATTGTACTTTATCTGTCAGCATTGCTGATATTTGTAAAAATTTAAAATGTCTTATTCCTGGGGTCATAGACGTCATTATTTATAAACAAGCCGATGGGCGCCCCGTATGGATCTCCACCAATGCAGGAGAATCCGCCCGCAATATTTTGCTCAGATAATTGGGCCAGCAGTATCAGTTCATGTCGAGCGCTGTTTATCTCGAGTTACTTTTGCGCTATATCCTGGGATTTATAATTTAAACATATTCCCTAAAATTTCTAAAGCCCTCTCAGTTTATAAGCTATCCAGACGAAAGGCGGCTTGTTAGAAAAAGAGTTTTTCTCCGTGGAGGGTAGCATTCTCGGAATTAGTTTACGAATAAATTACGTATAATTTTAAGAAAAATAAATATTTTAAACGATCGGCGTGTTTTTGGGAAACGAAATGTTAATTCCGACTTCAGGTGAAGCGCATATGACAGCATTATCCATCTGTGGATCTATAACGGCAGATTGATCAAGTGATCGGATTACCGAAACTGTCAGTTCAGTTTGAGTGCTGCGCGTTTCGTAGACTTTCTCGCAAACGTGGTATGCTGAAACTCAGGGGAATGCATCATTTTTAACATAAGGACCTGATACAAATAAATGGGTGACATCGCGGGCCGCACCTTAATTCACAAAAATTTTGGTTATTGATCTTATGACAAGCGTTGTTCCCTATGCACAGGATTTTTGTTAGGGAATTGTAGCGCCATAAGTAAAGATAATAAATCGAACTCAGGTATTCGATTCCAAAAGCAAAATAATTGGTATTACTCCCACGTAACACGTAAACTAAATTAAAAACTCGGTCAGCGGGCCGAAACATCGTTCACCGCGGACATACCGCTGCGTGGCTAATAATTGAACAAATGTTCATTAAAATCGAGGGCTTGACTAAATTATGATTTATGGAGACGAAAGACGGCTTGTTTGAATAAGAATTTTCTCCGGCAGAGGGTAGCATTTTCGGAATTTGACTTGTTTGGCGAATAAACAACCATAAATTATACCGAAAAATTATGTTAAATTTGGAAATTTTGAACGATCGGTATGTTTTTTCGGTGCTAATATGGAAACGAATTATCAATTCGGACATTAGGTGGGACGCACATTGATAGGGTAACAGCATAACCCACGTGGAAAACTGTCAATGAAATCTGCTCAACCGTTCAGACGTTACTGCTAAACTGATACACATAAAAGCATACAGAAAGAACCACTGAAAATAAAGGTATTCTAGAGCGAAGATCCAGTATACAATTTGTATACATGTATTTGTATGGATCAGAGATTGGGAGATACGTTTCTATAATTGTAATGAGTACGATTTTTTAACAAGATGGTTGGGTTTTTACGTTGTATGACGTATGAAATGAATATTACAGAAATGAAGAGATTGATTGGGAGAACTTACGACGACCCAATTGTGCAAGAAGATTCGAAGTTGTTGCCATTTAACGTCATTGACGATAGCAACAAACCAAAAATAGAAGTACGTTGAATTGGTTTATAGTTTCAGTAGATAAAATGCACGTCGTAAAACTAAGAAAGAGAGCAATGCGAAAACATAGGAACACGAAAGTCTTTTATCTTATAATTAGTTTCTCGAATCATTGGAAACCTTCAACGCCAAATTGCATATCGTGTCCCTGAATCAAAAAATTTCACATTCACATCTTCTTTCTAAACAGAAAACGCATCGGTAAGGCTTAATCGAGCACCAAAGTATTTTTTTTGAAAAAAATGTCGGACAACTTTTACACGGTCAGCTTGATTAGAAAAAAACGTATATACAATTGAATAAAAAGTGTTCCCCTTTATTTAGTGTTTTATTAGGGTTAATTCACAGTATTGAACTGTGGGGTGCTCAATAAATGATATAATTGATCAATAGGGACAGTTGTTTTTATTATTACGATAAAAATGAATATCTAAAATTGATTAAAAATACAACGAAAAAATACAGATGAAATGGCAGGATCCATATTCGTCATAGAAATTTTAATAGGGCATCAACCTTGGGCAGATGAGTTAACCCATAAATTTTACACAGAATCCAATAAAAAGCTAACAAATAAAATAATTTAAAAACGGTATTTCATATCGAATTCATGAACAATGAAACTGTTTATATTCATCAAACTGCATGTTCCTATTAAACTGTTTCAGGTTAGATTAAAGGATGGAGAAACAAAAGTAGAATTCAAAAGAGAAATATTAAGTCCTGAGGATGTATCCGCGATGGTTCTTGAGTCATTGAAGAAAGCAGCTGAGATTAAACTCAAACCCAAAATAGTTACAGATGCTGTAATTACAGTTCCTGCTTACTTCAACGATTCGCAACGCAAAGCGACATTACTCGCTGGAAAAATAGCCGGGCTCAACGTTCTACGAATGATAAATGAGCCCACCGCTGCAGCAATTGCATATAATTTGAATAGAGAGGTAACTTTAAAAAAAACGCTCATGATTTTATATCATTGATTAATTAAATACAAAAGAATTGCATTAATTAAATACATTGAAAATGCACTTACCCAGATGATTTCAAATAAAGTTTGAAGCTTTACGATTTTACATATTACGTACAGACTAGATTCATTTTGTTATTTTACTATTTAACACAGGGAACAGAAAAGCAGGATGTACTTATTTTCGATCTTGGAGGCGGTACATTTGATGTCTCAATTGTAAAAATTAATAACGGCAAAATTGACGTCCAGGCCGTAGGAGGGGATGCACATTTGGGAGGTAAGATAGATACTGTAGTTCTATAACTAAATGTACAATTCCTATTCCAGTGACATTTAGAACAATTATATTGAAGTTGATATAGCATGTTTTTATATTTTTTATTATTGTTAGACGAAGTGTTTACTACATTACCAAAGAAATGGAAATGCCCCACATATGCTTGTATAATGCAACATGGTATTAAACAATCTTATGAAAACGCCTCGAATGAATGCAATTTGTTTAGCATTTTATTTAATTAGAAATACTACCATAATTAGGAATGCCAAAATATCCGTATCTCTATCCCGCTTCGCGTCTAAAATAAAATCTGGAAACAACTATACTTTCAAATATTCATATACATATATATATATATATATATAGCATTTGCATTATGTATTATCCCTCTAAACTAAGTTTTCAGTTTGTTTCTCGGTCTAGTTCGGAAATCACGATCTAAATTGACTTTAAATCGCCACAATGCGTTATTGATAAATTTGTATAATTTGTAATATTCATCGCTCTAATCCCCTTATTCTCAATTTCGCCAATTCTCAAATATGCAAATACAATCACAATGAAACAATATTCGATGTTTGTATTTAATACAGGAGACGACTTTGACAATCACATGATCGAACATTTTGTCGCCGAATTTAACAGTAAAAACAACTGTGACATGTCCCAAAACAAAATTGCAAAACAAAAGTTACGGCGTCAGTGCGAAATGGCTAAAAGAATGCTATCATCGAAAACGTCGACTAGGTAACTAATTGACAAACCACCTTGTGAATATTTATTTACGCGTTTAAATATTTTTTAAAATGCTAAATTTTAAAAAAGAATACAAAAACAAGAGCGTTTGTTTATGTGATCATTAAATTGCTTGGAGATTACATATGAGTGCAACCTCTCTAACATAAACTTGTTAGGGACATTACATCTATTTACACAAACTGTCTAAAACTTGTGGCAGAATAGATTTTGTATATGCTTTCATATTGACGATTGTATTTTTCATTTTGTTGGGTAGTTATACATGAAAAGCATGCATGCAATTGTTGAAATATTTCATTGACTTTGTGAGTTTCCTATTTTAAAAAAAGATTCCACATTCTAGGTCTCTAGGAGACCAAACTTTTTCATTGTGGCACGTCATACTGGAAATGTTCAGTTAAACAAAATTTATATTAACGTCAAAGACAAAATGATATTAGTGTTCTAATTACTAACCTCTATCATCGAATCTTAAACGAATTCTTTATCAACGAATCTTTAAATCAATATTATATACCTATATTCTTTCTCATGTCGAATATTAAAATATGTAACGCAGCTAATACTTATCTTTTTGTTGGATTCACAAATTATTTTCATTTTTACCATCATTAGATTAAATGTGGATGCATTGCACGATAAAATCGACTTTCATAGCAGAATAAATCGAGCAACATTTGAGGAGTTGAACAAAGATTTATTTTTGAAAATCACAGAGATTATAAACTCAACACTTTCTGATGCAAAGATAAAAAAAAAAGATGTAAAATAAGTTTCACATTTTTTCTTAGCAGTACTAAAAAATTACAATTTATATATTCAAAAATATAAGTTAGTTATATCAAACATATAAGTTACTTGTATAAGTATTTGAATATTAGTTATTTTTGCAACACTTTTTAAACAGATTGACCACGTTGTGCTGATCGGTGGATCAACTCGAATTCCAAAAATCCGGGGGATTATTAAGAATTTGTTTGCAGAAAGCAAAATAGATATGAGTATAAACCCAGACGAGGCTGTTGCTTATGGTGCAGCTGCTTTAGCGGCAAAAATATCTCCAAATATATCTTTCGAGGTATGTGTGATTAAGTGTACATGATATTCTATGCACCTGCATTTTATCAAGATAATTAAAAATGGAATGATCATTGTCTTTTTCTGAAAAAAGGCCAATAAATTTGTGCTGCATGATGTGGCGCCGCTATCGCTTGGCTGGAAAGATTATCTTGATAAGATGGTCAACATAGTTGAACGAAACACCACAATACCAACCGAAAAATGGAGTAGAGTCTTTACTGTTAAAGACGACCAAACAACTCTTTTGTTCAAGGTAGTCATTATCTCAGTCGTTTTATAAGTGTATTGTCATTTTAAAATATAGTTCAAAGATTGAAACAAACTACTACTACTACTGTTGGAGATCAACTTACTTATTAAAGTTCCAAACCAATGATGTAGTTAGTTTAATTGTTTTAATATATTTTCTCCAAAATTGAATGAATATTTGTATCATTAGCTATATCATATTATTGAATTAGAGTTGCAGATACATTCGTTCTAGCCAAATAATAAAAAACTTTTAATACCTTTGCTGTAAAATAAACAAATTGTATATATTTTGAACAATTGACATACAAATACTAAGTCTATTGTATGTCCAATTATATTTTTCATGTAATATTTAATGCTAAATTTGTAGTTTCGGAAAAATGAGAAGTTCAATAAAACATTTTTTTTTAGATTTATGAAGGAGAGAGGCCTTTTGCGAAAGACAACCACTTTCTTGGAAGTTTTGTACTCGATGAAATACCGGCAGCTTTGCTTTAGATGAAAATGGAATTTTAACTGTAAAAGTACAAATTGTTAGTACCGGGAGTGAAAAGAAAATTACAATTGGATATGGAGGACGATTTGATGACGCTGAAGTAGCACTCATGGTATTGTTGCTTTATTCAAATTAAACATAACCTCATTTGAATGTAGGAAACGACCGTAATTCACCCAAAAACTGTAGCTATAACGAGTTTTAATTATTCCTTCGACGATGGATTTTGGACAAGTTAAGTAGTCCAGGATGTTTCAAGACTTTATTTTCATAAAAAGTTTATCAAAACAAATTAGCCGGTATTGAATCAGACAGGAAAGAAACTAAATTTTGAGCAATGTCTTTTGGAACGTCAAGACTCGAATTAAAGAGAATGACTTTGTACTCATTAAAATTTTTGCTACACTAGGTCTTTGGATTCTCGGAGAAAATATTTTCTTATAATTATTGAAGTTAATCTGCTGATATATGCTGACGGCGTATTTTGATATTTGACATTACTTACAACAAGCTCCGTCTCCTTCCTGTAAGATAATTTGATTAGCTACTGATTTCCGAGATTCTCGTTGTCCAAAAAATTCTTGGTATTTACCGAAGTCGAGCTATGTGTGTTTTGGTGTCTGTCGTTTTTTTGTATTCGGGATGTTGGAAGAAACGTTAAACCTCCAAAAATTCAGATTGATTATACCTTGCTTTCCAGGTGAAAAGAGCTGAAAAATTCAAGATAGAAGATGAAGCATGGTTGGAACGCAACAAACAAGTTAATAATTTAGAAGAGTTTGCTTATTCCGTAAAACACGCAGTTAATGGGGAAAATTTTGAGAACGTCGCAGATGGGGACAAGATGGAAGTGATCAATAAATGCAATGAAGTTATTGCTTGGGTCAAGTTGAACCGAGTAAGTATCTTTAATGCAGGTATATCAGCCTATATATTTTACAAGTTACCAAGAATCTATATGAGATATCAAATCTGACATCTAACCGAACTTATTAACATTCATACTTGTTCAATTGGACTTGTATAATATTTAATTTTAACTTCTGAAAAGTGATAAAAAGTCAACTTTATATTGTGATCATTCGTTCGACACTATTTAATTTTCAAAGATCAAAATGAATTCAATGAAAATAAAACAAAACTCAATTAAAATATATGTTAATCGGTAAATTATTATTCATTGTTTGAAACTTTTAAAATCATTAAATTTTTTTTTTCACCAGAATCCTGGAATTCAACAAACAAAAGAAAATTTAGAGAAGCTCGTAAAAACTTGCAGACCAGTCTTCTTGATGATACCTGGCGGATCCGCATTACTTCGCAAACTTGAAAAATAATCAATTTGGTTGTTCAATGAACAATGTAGTCATTTGGATGTAAATGAAAATATAATCAACAATGATTTGAAATTTTTTTTGGCAATGAACTTTTAGTTGTTTTCTGAAATATGCGCATGCTTTATATCCATATTTCTTCTGTAATTGTTATATTTGTACGTATTTAACTTTCACAAATATTTGTTTTTGTGGTTTAATGCTTATTTGATAAAAGTTGGAAATGTTGTCTAAATTAACTTTGCAATCTTGAAACGCTATATTATTACTTATCCATCATATCTCGAACCAGGAGTCTATTGATTTTGGATGAATTATGTCGTATAATTAGCGAGGTATTATTTAATTAGTGATGGGACACACAGTGTCGCTATGGAGTAAGATCGTATGAATCGAAACCGCAGTTTCTGTTTAGGGGGATCCCCTAACTTTCGACCGATAAGTCTTCGGTCTCCGACCGATATTCTTGTTTTAAGTATTATGGCGATTCGAGAAGAATTAAAATCGATTTCAGACAAATGCTAATTTCTAAACGCTGTTTAAGTAACTTAAAGATATATGACATAATTATAAATATATCGCTGTTTAATGTTGGCGTGTCTACATGGTGGACACCAGTTAAATCTAATCACTTGCCGGATAGTAATATTCATATTGCTTTTGTATATAAACGATTTCAAGTAATATTAGTATCCGCATTTCCATTTAGTTAGTGTTGGCTATTGAGTGTACGAAATATATATATAATGTTGTGTGCTATTCTAGATTGTATTCAGTGATTGTCTATCTATTAACATATCTGCATCGTAAAAATAATATTCATATACTATTGTGTTAAACTAGTGTCACATATATTCGAAAATAAAAAATACATATTCACTTCACAATAGCCTTGTTGTTGATAGATTGACTAACACGAAGCGAGGTGAACGATTTGGTATATTTATTTTTTATGCTTGTTTGTTCAAGGACATGAAGTAATGCGAATATAGTTATTTATTGATCAGCTCAAATGTTAAAATATTTGTAAATATTGTAGAATCGAATGAATGTGTATTAAATGTCCAATATTTGCAAATTCCAAGTTCAATAACAAGAGTTTAGATTTAGCATTGCAGAAACTATTTTCTAATGTGGAATAGTTACCCAGTTTACCTTTGAATTAAACGTAGAAATAAGAGATGTTCGTTAGGAATAGAAAAAGCGACTGTAGGTCTGAGGTGGATTTCAAGATACAGCGTGATAGACCTCACGCTATAGTTGTACCAAAAAAAAAAAACGATTCGACTCTTATACATATTGATTTAAACAATGGTATCTTGAAAAGTATTGATTAACGGAATGTTTATAAATTAAATTGGTATATCTATAAAGTTTATTAATATGGATTTTAATTTTTTGTATTTCAGGTTTAGGAAACCCGCTACGACATTGACTATGAATCTATTTTTGTTTGGAGTTTACGCTTGAACAACTGTTTTATTCCGCCGCGTTTTTATGCCGACTAATAAAAATGTTTAGAAGCATATAATCTTCCTGCAAGTTGCATTGGAATTGAAAATCGGAGAGAAATTACCTTTACGTCATTCTGTGAGAAGATGTGCTGTGTTCTTATCAACTCGTTGCTGCCACCTTTCGCTTCGTTTAATATTTTTCACTTTATTTGGTTCGTGTAAGGAATTTACGGAAATGCGCCGACAAGTATGGCTGCTGAAAGTACGTAGTTTTTTTGTAGTTTTTTCTTGCAACGAATAAAAAGAAGAGAAAAGGTTGAGAGCCACTGTGCTATAAAGACAAACTCAAACAGCGTATTAGATAGAATCCACTGTATTTATACAACAGCATAAAATGTGTTTCTATCAAACTAGTGACTTTAGTTTTACTATTTATTTTCCAGTTTAAGATCGGCGGGTCGGATATCTTATACTTTTTGGCTAAACCTTATCGTTTGCTCAAATGCCGTCTGATAGTAACCACAAGCTTTCCAGATTTCATGTTGTACACTTTGTTGAATTGCTGTAGGTTTTGTTTAGTTGTAGGTATTTACAAGTTGTTGAATAATATTTAAGATAAGATCATTTTGGTATTTGCCTATGTAGACTGTTATATGGTACATATACAGTAACGTAATTGCGTATGACTGGCAATTTTACCGTTCTGCTTAAAATGGCGTTCTTGACAAATTATCAATCTTGTTCAATGTTTGCATATTGCCATATGTGAGATAATCGTCGACTGGGTAACACGGGATCTAGATTTGTTTGATGGTTGTCTCAAATGAGCGCTGAGTTTAAATCGATGAAATGAAACTTTGCTCAGCTCAACATGTAAATAAATGTATGCACTGGCATATTTTCCAAGTTGAATATTTATCGGAATCATGTCCTTGCATATTTTAAGGTGAAATCTTTTTACATTAAATATGTGCTCCATCTTCTAAATTTTTGAAATTTACAGTATTTAACAAAAAAACTGACTGTACATTTTTAGGTATCACTGTCCTAACTATTTTGGTATTTTAAATCATTCTATCAAATTGATTTTCATTAGCCATCCAGGCAATCGGGCAAAATGAAATGAAAGCAAAATTGAAAATATATAATTATATACGCTTTTACCCAGAATGGACAAGATAACAGCAAAATAAACTTTTGGTCTACTTGTCACTGACTAGCTTGCAATAGCTGTAATAATTAAAACTTAGGAATCAAAGTTACCACAAAACAAGTAAACGCTTTTACGAAAACAGCATAGCCTCGAGATGGCGCTACAACGAAAAAATTGTCACATTTTTTCTAAATTATTTTGATGCAACGCTGTTCCAGGAGTTTAGCTAGACGTTTTTGAAGGATAATTCAGGGGAAAAGTTGAAAATTATATAATGTTTGGGTTATAACACATGGGTAATTATTGTCGCACGAATCAAAGACCAGATGGGAATTTTTTTTTCTATAAATCAACGCAATCTCATATTTTTGATAACCAAACGGCTGCACTGACATAAAGCAACTAGATCAAGTTTCTTGCGAAATGTCGAAAAAAGTATAGTTGACCTGCACGGTTTCGCGGACCAGCAATTGAGAACCAATGTTCAATGAACTATAGATCAAAAAAAGTATTGTGATATCAATGACAAAAATAAAAACATGTTGGAATAAGTTGGAAAAGTTCTTCTTATGGTTAGCGAGTATGTGCCCCGCATTGCAAATTATTGGGCCCAACCGAAGTACAGGTTTGTCACAGGTCTTCAACTTAACAAAAAATTTTATTTTCATATATAGTTATTCCGATATAACACTTCAAACGTCAAGTATATATAGGGTGTCCATATAGTATTAATTTTTTTTAATTTGCAAACGGAATTTATCGATACCATATATTGTTTTAGCCCTCACAGATGCCTTCCTAATGTTGCTGGCAATCCTCTATTGATTACCTGCATACCGAAACCTTCATTTTTGACAAATTTTCTCGCTTCAGAAAATGTTGATTCTTGCTGAAACGAAAATATTGAATACTTTATGTTCAATACAACAAGACAGCATAGCTCAAGGTGCTCAATTTAAAAAAAATAACAAAATTACTGATTAAAAAGCAACAAACCTGGTAAAAATGTATTGTGAACTGACATCATAAAGAAATTGAAATTGTAAAGGAACTTTATAGAAAACCTGTATATTGAAAATTATATTTATCCTGCTCAGTCCTCCCTTCAGCTAAACGAAGCAACATTTAAAGATTAGCAGTCATACAGCTATTTGCCATCAGCTATATTTGAAAGATGTAAACGTCTTGAAGTAAAATTATCAAAACTTAGATTTGAAGGAATATCCAAGGTACGGCTGGAATGCATATCTAACTTATTGCAGTAAGCTATAAAGGCTTTTACATCGGGTATATTCGGGACTGTTTCTGATCTCTGCTCTCAGTAGTACACAATGTGAAATTCATCGGTTGCTTTGGGTGTTTTGTCGCATAATTTGAAAATTGCATTTTTTTCGACCATCAGTGAATAACCATGCCCTTTTGTGGTCCATTACAATGACATTGGTTTAAACGCAAAAAATATTAGTTGACCATAGCGTTTAACGGCGCGCTATGTTTGTAGTAATTGAATTAGGTAAGCAATGCCAAACTCGAATGTTCACACTTCTTTCCGGAACTAGAGGTATCGCGTTTAAACTTGGCTTTATATGGCCTTGTTTGGAGTGAATAAGTGAGAGGTTTTGTAAAAATTAGCACAGCAGTTCAGGATTGTAAAAGGAGGTAAAAATAAGTTGGAAAATTTCGTTGTTTGTTGAAGTTCCAATGAGCCAGGTTTAATCATGGCTGTTACTGCTCTCGACTAGATTGGGATAATCATCAAAAGTCACACCATCTACTTATTCGCCCAAATTTCACAACTCAAAGGTATCTACTCGAAACGATTATAACAAAGCCTAGTTCTTATTCCTCAAACTGGCTAATTAAGTGACCCCCTATATTTCACATCCCTGGTAAACAACGGATTTGCATTGAAACGAAGTTTATAGCACACTTTGCCCATGCCTGAAACGAGCATATTCTCCCAAAAATAAATACTGGATTAACCCCGCCAATAAATGTAGAACTAACTACCATATCAAAAACTGGGGATTGGTGCTCTCACATTATAGTGATAATGAGTTCCCACTGAAATGCAGCATGTTCTGGTTGAAATAGTATGCTGCATAATAATTTCTCTCCAATAACCAGTCCTAATACAAACTTCGAAACTATAAAAAGAATGAACAAGACATAGTTTGAGCAACTCGTGTCATTTTATTACAATGATCAGAATCGAAACCTAGTTTAGCTGATACAATCTTATTTACAGGAAAAATATACAAATTTGTCTCAAACAGTTATGCAGATAATAAGTTTGGAATTACTGTTAAAAATGAAATTTTAGTGGCATTTTCATCAATTATTTTTAACTGTCAACTGAAAATTGCCAGTATTTAAATTTGAGTACAGATTGATAAATTTGTAAATAAATTTGTAAATACATTCATCTTCAATATTACGTAATTAATTACACTTTTATACTTGAAATTCGAAGAATAAAAGAAATTGAAATGAAGAAAGCGTAATAAAATCAATTGCAAAGAAATTTCCAATCTTATAAACAATGATTTGAACTGATACGAAAAAAATGCATGCTTCATAGAATTAGCGTATATTTGTATTTGTTTAAAATGTTTATTTCCGACGATTTCGACATAGTAGAGTTCAGTTTTATTTTAATCAACTTCGTCTGACGGCGATGATGGACGTTCTTGGATACTTCTGTATTCCGCAGTGTTTGACCCAAGCGTCTTGGTTTCTTGTCTTGATGTTTTGAATTCGTCTAAAAACATACAAAAATTGATAAAAGAATGATATTAGTGAAAAGAAAACATTAAAAATTATATGAATATTCATCGACTAACAGCGTTGTTGTGGGTACAATATGCTTAAGATTCAGTTTGAATCAGTAAGTTGTCAGCGAGTAGTCAGAGAGTTGTTTGATACTAAATTTCTGTACAATTTAAACTTAATTTAACGCTTGGAAGCAAAGCTTATAAACAGGTTCTAAGGTACTTAATATTCACGAAACATACTAAGTTGAATTTTTTTTTATTATGCCTATTAATTTTATTAAATCCAATTTTCTATAATTCATTTATTCAATTAAATCAATACGTCATCAGGTTCTGTACATTTTTGTAGGTATTACCCCGTGGAATGGCATCAAAAGTATAATAAGAACAATACTGCAACTTCAATTAATACTTCAATGTAACCTATATATATATAGGAATAATTTCATATGCGCAACCTCCACTTTTTGAACTTTTCGAGTTTCAAATTTTTCTTGCACAAATATAAAAAGAATCACCTTTGAACGTGCAACTTTGAAATATGTGACATCCTTGAATAGTTGCGCTTCCAGAACTTGCGCCTTCTAAGACGCTAAGAAGGGCGTTTTGAGGCTGTTCTGCGTTGCTGTTATTGCTTTTCTGTTGTTTCCGTATAGCTAAATAAACAAAATAGAATCTGTTTCAAAATTTCAAAACACATATATTTACCTCTCACTTTATGCTTCATACAGCGATTTAAACCAGCGTTCTCTAGCGGAAGATTTATTTTGAGATTTATTTTGAGATTTTTACCATCATTAGATTAAATGTGGATGCATTGCACGATAAAATCGACTTTCATAGCAGAATAAATCGAGCAACATTTGAGGAGTTGAACAAAGATTTATTTTTGAAAATCACAGAGATTATAAACTCAACACTTTCTGATGCAAAGATAAAAAAAAAAGATGTAAAATAAGTTTCACATTTTTTCTTAGCAGTACTAAAAAATTACAATTTATATATTCAAAAATATAAGTTAGTTATATCAAACATATAAGTTACTTGTATAAGTAATTGAATATTAGTTATTTTTGCAACACTTTTTAAACAGATTGACCACGTTGTGCTGATCAATGGATCAACTAGAATTCCAAAAATCCGGGAGATTATTAAGAATTTGTTTGCAGAAAGCAAAATAGATATGAGTATAAACCCAGACGAGGCTGTTGCTTATGGTGCAGCTGCTTTAGCGGCAAAAATATCTCCAAATATATCTTTCGAGGTATGTGTGATTAAGTGTACATGATATTCTATGCACCTGCATTTTATCAAGATAATTAAAAATGGAATGATCATTGTCTTTTTCTGAAAAAAGGCCAATAAATTTGTGCTGCATGATGTGGCGCCGCTATCGCTTGGCTGGAAAGATTATCTTGATAAGATGGTCAACATAGTTGAACGAAACACCACAATACCAACCGAAAAATGGAGTAGAGTCTTTACTGTTAAAGCCGACCAAACAACTCTTTTGTTCAAGGTAGTCATTATCTCAGTCGTTTTATAAGTGTATTGTCATTTTAAAATATAGTTCAAAGATTGAAACAAACTACTACTACTACTGTTGGAGATCAACTTACTTATTAAAGTTCCAAACCAATGATGTAGTTAGTTTAATTGTTTTAATATATTTTCTCCAAAATTGAATGAATATTTGTATCATTAGCTATATCATATTATTGAATTAGAGTTGCAGATACATTCGTTCTAGCCAAATAATAAAAAACTTTTAATACCTTTGCTGTAAAATAAACAAATTGTATATATTTTGAACAATTGACATACAAATACTAAGTCTATTGTATGTTCAATTATATTTTTCATGTAATATTTAATGCTAAATTTGTAGTTTCGGAAAAATGAGAAGTTCAATAAAACATTTTTTTTAGATTTATGAAGGAGAGAGGCCTTTTGCGAAAGACAACCACTTTCTTGGAAGTTTTGTACTCGATGAAATACCGGCAGCGCCGAAAGGGGTTGAGAAACTAAAAATTTGCTTTGCTTTAGATGAAAATGGAATTTTAACTGTAAAAGTACAAATTGTTAGTACCGGGAGAGAAAAGAAAATTACAATTGGATATGGAGGACGATTTGATGACGCTGAAGTAGCACTCATGGTATTGTTGCTTTATTCAAATTAAACATAACCTCATTTGAATGTAAGAAACGACCGTAATTCACCCAAAAACTGTAGCTATAACGAGTTTTAATTATTCCTTCGATGATGGATTTTGGACAATTTAAGTAGTCCAAGATGTTTCAAGACTTTATTTTCATAAAAAGTTTATCAAAACAAATTAGCCGGTATTGAATCAGACAAGAAAGAAACTAAATTTTGAGCAATGTCTTTTGGAACGTCAGGACTCGAATTACAGAGAATGACTTTGTACTCATTAAAATTTTTGTTACACTAGGTCTTTGGATACTCGGAGAAAATATTCTCTTATAATTATTAAAGTTAATCTGCTGATATATGCTGACGGCGTATTTTGATATTTGACATTACTTACAACAAGCTCCGTCTCCTTCCTGTAAGATAATTTGATTAGCTACTGATTTCCGAGATTCTCGTTGTCCAAAAAATTCTTGGTATTTACCGAAGTCGAGCTATGTGTGTTTTGGTGGCTGTCGTTTTTTTGTATTCGGGATGTTGGAAGAAACGTTAAACCTCCAAAAATTCAGATTGAGTATACCTTGCTTTCCAGGTGAAAAGAGCTGAAAAATTCAAGATAGAAGATGAAGCATGGTTGGAACGCAACAAACAAGTTAATAATTTAGAAGAGTATGCTTATTCCGTAAAACACGCAGTTAATGGGGAAAATTTTGAGAACGTCGCAGATGAGGACAAGATGGAAGTGATCAATAAATGCAATGAAGTTATTGCTTGGGTCAAGTTGAACCGAGTAAGTATCTTTAATGCAGGTATATCAGCCTATATATTTTACAAGTTACCAAGAATCTATATGAGATATCAAATCTGACATCTAACCGAACTTATTAACATTCATACTTGTTCAATTGGACTTGAATAATATTTATTTGTAAACTTCTGAGAAGTGATAAAAAGTCAACTTTATATTGTGATCATTCGTTCGACACTATTTAATTTTCAAAGATCAAAATGAATTCAATGAAAATAAAACAAAACTCAATTAAAATATATGTTAATCGGTAAATTAATATTCATTGTTTGAAACTTTAAAAATCATTAAATTTTTTTTTTCACCAGAATCCTGGAATTCAACAAACAAAAGAAAATTTAGAGAAGCTCGAAAAAACTTGCAGACCAGTCTTCTTGATGATACCTGGCGGATCCGCATTACTTCGCAAATTTGAAAAATAATCAATTTGGTTGTTCAATGAACAATGTAGTCATTTGAATGTAAATGAAAATATAATCAACAATGATTTGAAATTTTTTTTGGCAATGAACTTTTAGATGTTTTCTGGAATATGCGCATGCTTTATATCCATATTTCTTCTGTAATTGTTATATTTGTACGTATTTAACTTTCACAAATATTTGTTTTTGTGGTTTAATGCTTATTTGATAAAAGTTGGAAATGTTGTCTAAATTAACTTTGCAATCTTGAAACGCTATATTATTACTTATCCATCATATCTCGAACCAGGAGTCTATTGATTTTGGACGATATTCTTGTTTCAAGTATTATGGCGATTCAAGAAGAATTAAAATCGATTTCAGACAAATGCTAATTTCTAAACGCTGTTTAAGTAGCTTAAAGATATATGAGATAATTATAAATATATCGCTGTTTAATGTTGGCGTGTCTACATGGTGGACACCAGTTAAATCTAATCACTTGCCGGATAGTAATATTCATATTGCTTTTGTATATAAACGATTTCAAGTAATATTAGTATCCGCATTTCCATTTAGTTAGTGTTGGCTATTGAGTGTACAAAATATATATATAATGTTGTGTGCTATTCTAGATTGTATTCAGTGATTGTCTATCTATTAACATATCTGCATCGTAAAAATAATATTCATATACTATTGTGTTAAACTAGTGTCACATATATTCGAAAATAAAAAATACATATTCACTTCACAATAGCCTTGTTGTTGATAGATTGACTAACACGAAGCGAGGTGAACGATTTGGTATATTTATTTTTTATGCTTGTTTGTTCAAGGACATGAAGTAATGCAAATATAGTTATTTATTGATCAGCTCAAATGTTAAAATATTTGTAAATATTGTAGAATCGAATGAATGTGTATTAAATGTCCAATATTTGCAAATTCCAAGTTCAATAACAAGAGTTTAGATTTAGCATTGCAGAAACTATTTTCTAATGTGAAATAGTTACCCAGTTTACCTTTGAATTAAACGTAGAAATAAGAGATGTTCGTTAGGAATAGAAAAAGCGACTGTAGGTCTGAGGTGGATTTCAAGATACAGCGTGATAGACCTCACGCTATAGTTGTACCAAAAAAAAAAAACGATTCGACTCTTATACATATTGATTTAAACAATGGTATCTTGAAAAGTATTGATTAACGGAATGTTTATAAATTAAATTGGTATATCTATAAAGTTTATTAATATGGCTTTTAATTTTTTGTATTTCAGGTTTAGGAAACCCGCTACGACATTGACTATGAATCTATTTTTGTTTGGAGTTTACGCTTGAACAACTGTTTTATTCCGCCGCGTTTTTATGCCGACTAATAAAAATGTTTAGAAGCATATAATCTTCCTGCAAGTTGCATTGGAATTGAAAATCGGAGAGAAATTACCTTTACGTCATTCTGTGAGAAGAGGTGCTGTGTTCTTATCAACTCGTTGCTGCCACCTTTCGCTTCGTTTAATATCTTTCACTTTATTTGGTTCGTGGAGGGAATTTACGGAAATGCGCCGACAAGTATGGCTGCTGAAAGTACGTAGTTTTTTTGTAGTTTTTTCTTGCAACGAATAAAAAGAAGAGAAAAGGTTGAGAGCCACTGTGCTCTAAAGACAAACTCAATCAGCGTATTAGATAGAATTCACTGTATGTATACAACAGCATAAAATGTGTTTCTATCAAACTAGTGACTTTAGTTTTTCTATTTATTTTCCAGATGAAACTCGGCGGGTCGGATATCTTATACTCTTTGGCTGAACCTTATCGTTTGCTCAAATGCCGTCTGATAGTAACCACAAGCTTTCCAGATTTCATGTTGTATACTTTGTTGAATTGCTGTAGCTCTTGTTTAGTTGTAGATATTTACAAGTTGTTTAATAATATTTAAGACAAGATCATTTTGGTATTTGCCTATGTAGACTGTTATATGGTACATATACTGTAACGTAATTGCGTATGACTGGCAATTTTACCGTTCTGCTTAAAATGGCGTTCTTGACAAATTATCAATCTTCTTCAATGTTTGCATATTGCCATATGTGAGATAATCGTCGACTGGGTAACACGGGATCTAGATTTGTTTGATGGTTGTCTCAAATGAGCGCTGAGTTTAAATTGATGAAATGTAACTTTGCTCAGCTCAACATGTAAATAAATATATGCACTGGCATATTTTCCAAGTTGAATATTTATCGGAACCATGTCCTTGCATATTTTAAGGTGAAATCTTTTTACATTAAATATGTGATCCATTTTCTAAATTTTTGAAATTTACAGTATTTAACAAAAAAACTAACTGTACATTTTTAGGTATCACTGTCCTAACTATTTTGGTATTTTAAATCATTCTATCAAATTGATTTTCATTAGCCATTCAGGCAATCGGGCAAAATGAAATGAAAGCAAAATTGAAAATATATACTTATACACGCTTTTGCCCAGAATGGACAAGATAACAGCGAAATAAACTCTACTTGTCAGTGACTAGCTTGCAATAGCTGTAATAATTAAAACTTATGAATCAAAGTTACCACAAAACAAGTAAACGCTTTTACGAAAACAGCATGGCCTCGAGATGGCGCTACAACGAAATAAATTGTCACATTTTTTCTAAATTATTTTGATGCAACGCTGTTCCAGGAGTTTAGCTGGACGTTTTTGAAGGAGAATTCAGGGGAAAAGTTGAAAATTATATAATGTTCGGGTTATAACACATGGGTAATTAGTGTCGCACGAATCAAAGACCAGATGGAAATTTTTTTTTTTACTATAAATCAACGCAATCTCAAATTTTTGATAACCAAACGGCTACACTGACATAAAGCAACTAGATCAAGTTTCTTGCGAAATGTCGAAAAAAGTATAGTTGACCTGCACGGGTTCGAGGACCAGCGATTGAGAACCAATGTTCAATGAACTATAGATCAAAACAAGTATTGTGATGTCAATGACAAAAATAAAAACATGTTAGAATAAGTTGGAAGAGTTCTTCATATGGTTAGCGAGTATGTGCACCGCATTGCAAATTATTGGGCCCAACCGAAGTACAGGTTTGTCACAGGTCTTCAACTCAACAAAATTTTTTATTTTTATATATAATTATTCCGATATAACACTTCAAACGTCAAATATATATAGGGTGTCCATATAGTATGAATTTTTTTTAATTTGCAAACGGAATTTATCGATACAATATATTGTTTTGGCCTTCACAGATGCCTTCCTAATGTTGCTGGCAATCCTCTAATGATTACCTGCATACCGAAACCTTCATTTTTGACAAATTTTCTCGCTTTAGAAAATGTTGATTCTTGCTGAAACGAAAATATTGAATACTTTATGTTCAATACAACAAGACAGCAATGCTTAAGGTGCTTAATTGAATGAAAAAAAAAAAAAAATTACTGATTAAAAAGCAACAAACCTGATGAAAATGTATTGTGAACTGACATAATAAAGAAATTGAAATTGTAAAGGAACTTTATAGAAAACCTGTATATTGAAAATTATATTTATCCTGCTCAGTCCTCCCTTCAGCTAAACGAAGCAACATTTAAAGATTAGCAGTCATACAGCTATTTGTCATCAGCTATATTTGAAAGATGTAAACGCCTTGAAGTAAAATTATCAAAACTTAGATTTGAAGGAATATCCAAGGTACGACTGGCATGCATATCTAACTTATTGCAGTAAGCTATAAAGGCTTTTACATCGGAGATATTCGGGACTGTTTCTGATCTCTGCTCTCAGTAGTACACAATGTGAAATTCATCGGTTGCTTTGGGTGTTTTGTCGCATAATTTGAAAATTGCATTTTTTACGACCATCAGTGAATAACCATGTCCTTTTGTGGTCCTTTACAATGACATTGGTTTTAACGCAAAAAATATTAGTTGACCATAGCGTTTAACGGCGCGCTATGTTTGTAGTATTTGAATTAGGTAAGCAATGCCAAACTCGAATGTTCACACTTCTTTCCGGAACTAGAGGTATCGCGTTTAAACTTGACTATATATGGCCTTGTTTGGAGTGAATAAGTGAGAGGTTTTGTAAAAATTAGCACAGCAGTTCAGGATTGTAGTAGGAGGTAAAAATAAGTTGGAAAATTTTAATTCGTTGTTGGTTGAAGTTCCAATGAGTCAGGTTTAATCATGGCTGTTACGGCTCTCGACTAGATTAGGATAATCATCAAAAGTCACACCATCTACTTATTCGCCCAAATTTCACAACTCAAAGGTATCTACTCGAAACGATTATAACAAAGCCTAGTTCTTATTCCTCAAACTGGCTAATTAAGTGACCCCCTATATTTCACATCCCTGGTAAACAACGGATTTACATTGAAACGAAGTTTATAGCACACTTTGCCCATGCCTGAAACGAGCATATTCTCCCAAAAATAAATACTGGATTAACCCCGCCAATAAATGTAGAACCAACTACAATATCAAAAACTGGGGATTGGTGCTCTCACATTATAGTGATAATTAATTCCCACTGAAATGCAGCATGTTCTGGTTGAAATAGTATGCTGCATAATAATTTCTCTCCAATAACCAGTCCTAATACAAACTTCGAAACTATAAAAAGAATGAACAAGACATAGTTTGAGCAACTCGTGTCATTTTATTACAATGATCAGAATCGAAACCTAGTTTAGCTGATACAATCTTATTTACAGGAAAAATATACAAATTTGTCTCAAACAGTTATGCAGATAATAATTTTGGAATTACTGTTAAAAAAGAAATTTTAGTGGCATTTTCATCAATTATTTTTAAATGTCAACTGGAAATTGCCAGTATTTAAATTTGAGGACAGATTAATAAATTTGTAACAAAAATCTTTTACTAGTCAAAATACATTCATCTTCAATATTACGTAATTAATTACACTTTTATACTTGAAATTCGAAGAATAAAAGAAATTGAAATGAAGAAAGCGTAATAAAATCAATTGCAAAGAAATTTCCAATCTTATATACAATGATTTGAAGTGATACGAAAATAAGGGATAGTTTTTTAATAGCTTTTGACAAAACAAAAACAAAATTAAAACAACAACAATCAAAACAAAATTACACGAATGGATTAATTGAGTTTTTTAAAATGCATGCTTCATGGAATTAGCGTATATTTGTATTTGTTTGAAATGTTTATCTTCGACGATTTCGACATAGTAGAGTTCAGTTTTATTTTAATCAACTTCGTCTGACGGCGATGATGGACGTTCTTGGATACTTCTGTATTTCGCAGTGTTTGACCCAAGCGTCTTGATTTCTTGTCTTGATGTTTTGAATTCGTCTAAAAACATACAAAAATTGATAAAAGAATGATATTAGTGAAAAGAAAACATTAAAAATTATATGAATATTTATCGACTAACAGCGTTGTTGTGGGTACAATATGCTTAAGATTCAGTTTGAATCAGTAAGTTGTCAGCGAGTAGTCAGAGAGTTGTTTGATACCAAATTCCTGTACAATTTAAACTTAATTTAACGCTTGGAAGCAAAGCTTATAAACAGGTAATAAGGTACTTAATATTCACGAAACATACTAAGTTGAATTTTTTCTTATTATGCCTATTAATTTTATTAAATCCAATTTTCTATAATTCTTTTA